ATGGAGGAAAAACGGCATATTACAAGCCAACTTAAAAAAGCAAAATGATAGAAATAGAATTCAGATGACCATGAAGCTAGTCGGACTCAGTAGCGCCACCAAATTGCCAAGGACCATTCATTGGCGACATAAAAACCCACAATACGATGTCCCAAATAGCACAAGAGAACGTCCACCAAGGTTGCCAAATCAAGTACAGGCCATCCACTGGGGCGATAAGTGAAACTGTCTCAGCATTGTCCAATGTCGCAATCAATCAACACGAACCCGAAAAGATCTAAAACTTGCATAAGGGCCTACTTCTGTTTGATTTCTTTCCACAAGGCCTACAACCAAAAATGCCCCCAACCAAAACCGCCCAACAAACAGGCATCCAAATGCACAGATAACCCAAACCGACAGACAACCACAAGATCCGCAACTAATAGACAAGGAACAAACCAATAAGAAGGTCAACATCAAAAAATACTATAAGCCACCTTATTACTCCTTCCTATGATGCCAATTGAAGTTAAGACAACATGAAATAAGCTTGATATGATGCATGATGTCCAAATGGAAAGGATTTGTATAAGGTGCTCCATCAAATTCTTCATTCTGAATAATTCTAACATGAAAATTCTACAGAGGAATTTGGAAGAAATTGTGCAGATATTGTCATCATAATTTTCATATCTATTATCGGGGAATATTGAATATCATGCTTAATGTTGAAAATTAAGGCAATCTTTAATTCAAACTATAGAGAGTAAATAAAAAAGAAAGAAAATCAATACACAAAAAAATGCAAGCTCTCATTCGAAATATTGAGATATTGTCACCTTGAGGTGAATTAGGGACTAGAATTTTTATTCTTCTGTGCTTCTCGACTTCAATAAGCGAGAAAGGAATCCTTAAACTAAGACTTTGTTTGAGGCAGCTTTTGTACTGCTTTTTAAAACGGCTTTGATGTACAAAAATTTTGTACTAGAAAGCTGTTATGGAAAGTAAGAAGAAAGTCATTCCAAACGAAGTCTAAATTTAATAAAATCATTAAAGGAGCGTGAACGGAGTTTAACAAGTTGATAATGTATTAAAGTTATCAAGGAGCACATCCTGCCAACCCAAGGATTAGCCTTAATCCTTCAGTGCTAAGATAATAAACTCACTTGAGTAGGATTGTAAATGAACCAATATGCTCAATAGAGTACTCTTTACTAAGCTTCATGATAATTTAATTAACAATCCAAATAAGTTTAAACACTTTTATAAATACTCAATTGAAAAATGTACAAGCTTGAACAACTTAATTATTATTTGATTCATTTATGACCATGAATAATATCCATTAAAACTTACGAATATGCTAGTTAAACAGCTCGGTTGTAGCTCAATAGTGTGTTTTTAAGAATCAATTATAATTTTATTTAATAAATCATTATATAATCAAGCTTACACCGACCTTAATTAGCTTAAACATTTTTTTTAACAGAATATATATATTGATAAAAGCAAAAGATACAACAATGTAGGAAATAAAACAAAACAAAACCTGAAAAATACAACCAAAGAGAGGGCTCAGCAAACGGCCAGAGCTACCAGCGTCCCTGAAGCCACGCAGGACCGTCCAGTAAGGTAAATAGCGACCAAAAAGCCAAGCCCCAGGTTGCCACTGCAGAACCACAGGGACACGAGCCCTAACCTCATCATAGCCCTAACTGCACCGCAATCATCCCCTCAAACCATAAACAATTAATAGAAACCCGATAAGATAGCAAAGTCTAAGCAGAAGAAGCAACAGAAATTAGCGTCGACGACGTCCTCTTCCACTAAATCTCCCACGACATCTCCCCCGAGATACCACATTAATGCTAGGACTAGCACGAACCAATGTGAAATCGTTGCCAGAATCAGAACCCCCACAAATTTCCGGAGACAACATTCCGCCATCAGAAAATTCAGATTCTGATTCATACTCCGACGAACCTTCCAACCAATTAAGATGGCTCCTAATGTCCACACCAGATGAATCTCCCAAACGATTAGCCAAGGATTGTGAATCCACCACAATAACAGGAACCTCAATAAGAGGATTTCCAGCTACTCTAACATCAGATGCAACGTCTACAGTAGTAGATGCTAAAGCAGGGGGAAAAAAAGGAAGAGCATTTGGTGAAAGACCAACCATGATAGCATCTATTACCAAATGTTGTCACGGTTGGTCGAGACTTTATCTCTCTCTCTCTCTCTCTCTCTCTCTCTCTCTCTCTCTCTCTCTCTCTCTTCTCTCTTATATTATTTTCTAGATTCTCCTCAGACTCTCGTTATCTATCTCTTAAACAATTATGTAACCCGATTTGATTTGCCCCTTTATTTCTAAGACGTCCAATCCAACCTTTTGAATCAAAACGACAAAAATAAAAATCAATGAACTAGAAATTTTTGTACTAAAAAATGATTTTAGAAATTAATAAGAAAGCTAACTCATAAAACATCAATGTCCTCTCCCTTCTCTTTTACTTGTCATGCTAAATTTATATATATAGAATAATCTCTATATTTTTTTAAAGTTATAAAATTAAATATCATTTATTATTGGCGGAATATGCTTTTTAATGGCAAAAACTAATTAATCTATTAATTAAATTGCAATTATAAAATATTATTAAGTTGAACTAATCAGTTTTTACACTCAGTCAACACTACTCGCTCAGGATATTTTTATAAATTTTATTTTATTTTTTGCAAGCGACTGTGTCATTTCCTTACTTTTTTTTTTTGCTCCTGAATATTATAAATTTAAACTTTTTATTGATGAGCAAAAACTAAATATTTTAATTGAAAAAAGCTACGATAGTTTTCCTCAAAAAATAAATCTTTTATATCACTTATCCCAAATTAAAGTTTTTGGGATTAAATTATCTTAATGTGGGTTATAGATTAATTAATTACTATAAACAAATTATTACATTATAATTTTATTTAACTTTATGATCAAAATAATATTAAATTTTATTTCATATATCAAATAATATAGCAAATAAAACTTATATTAACACATTATCAAGCTATATATGAAGTTTGGTTTATTACTCCTTCCTATGATTCCATTTGAAGTTAGGACAACAAGAAATAATCTTCTTGATGTCCAATTGGAGAGGATTTAAATAAGGTTCTCCCTCAAATATTTCATCTTGAAAAATTCTACAATAAAAAGTTTCTAAACTTCAAAATTTTCATCATGACAAAATCTACATATGAATTTGATAGAAAATTTCAATGTGTTATAGTCATAATTTTCATAAATATTATCGACAAATATTGAATATCTCGCTGAATGTCGGAAATTAAGGTAATATCTAATTCAAAATATCGACTCATAAAATGCACTAAAAGTTTTACATAGGTTCGCTAGTCTGATGATTATATCATATTGTATCTGCTACATATCAAAACCCTAATATCTTATTTCAGGCTTATTTCGTAATATAATACGTCGCTTCCTTTTAATGAAAATAAACTTCTCGCACGAGTGAGTAGTTACAAATTATCGATTTTGTTTGGGACTGCTTTCTTAATGCTTTCTAAAGGAACTTTGTTGAAAAAAAAAAACTGCTTTAGAAAGCAGGAAGAAAATTATCTCAAATAAAATCTTAGTTTTTATCCTGCTTAATTCAAAGTCACAAAACAAAAAAATAATATATCATCGCAAGGGCGAATTATTACGCCCGGTCACCGGACGTCCGGACACCCAATCCAGACGCATCACGTCACCCGATACACTGGGTCCCGGTGCATTTTGATGACATGGCACATCTGAATTGGTGTTCGGATCGGACACCGGACGTAATAATTTGTCCATCACAAGCTATAGAAGACTTTATGAAAAAGAATTTTGCTTAGTTATTATCTATTGGATCCTCCGCTTGCTGTATATGGACTGCAAGTGGCTTAATAGCTGCATTTAGAAAGCGCCAAGCTGTGAAGAAGCATCTACTCTTTAGAAGCTACCGAACAGAAATTCTTTTTCAGTATGAAATGTGTGGCGCCTGTGAAAATTTGAAATTTTCGCAGGGATTTTTTTGTCAAATTGAAAATTAAGATATTCATAACATGAACAAATTAGTGTAACTGTACATTACTCATAATGATAGTAATGTAAATGTCTGATTATACTCTTTTGTCATTTTTTTATTTTTTTGGTATATTAATGCAAATCCAATTCTTCAAGTTAAAATATTTGACTCAAACTCGGAACTGGCTTAACCTGAATCTGCATAACTCGAACTCAGCCCATTCAACATGTTTAATTTTAAACCCCCCTGTTGCAAGCTAATTTCCACGTAAAATAAACCCTCTTGTTTTGAGCAAAAAAAGGAAATCATGCATGCTAGAGAGCGAAGCATGCAATAACTCATTGTTATTTCTTCTTCCTTCATTGCTATTCGTCTTCAATCATTCGACAATGTTCCCTTCCTGCTGGATTAGGAGGTATGACATTAAGAAGCAATTACATAAGCTCACTTGTTGTGAAGGTAACTATCTTTCTCACTTTCACGTGCTTCTTCGGCCAAATCATGTAAATCCGCAAAAGGGGGAGACATACGATTTATTTTTCTATGAGGTTTAGCGGGTGCTCTTATCCCTAGCAAGAATCTTGTTTTTGGTGAAAGGGTGGAAGATAACTATAGCTTTGTGTCGCTCACAGTGAAGGTAACTATCTTTCACCCTTCCACGGTCTTATTGGGCCAAATCCCACTTTTGCTACGTTTCTTCATGACAATTTCAAGCAGGCATGCTCCGCACCAGCTTCAATTTATCTTGCATAAGTGATGATGAATGCATATGGAATGGATATTGAGGCTCACGAAAAGGGCTTTACAACTGGACGGGATTTGGGCACCTCCATCTCCGACATCCTCCTCTCTTTCCTCTCCTCACAATCTTCTCTGCTCCTCCTCCCTTTCTAGTTTCTCCACAAACTGAAACAGAGCACCTAGTGAGGAAAAGAGAGAAACGGAATGGCACTGAACGGACGGCTCCGGAGCGGTCGTCCGGCTCATCACTTTCTGTTCATCCTAGGCATCGCTGCAATATTCTCCGTCTCCGACATCGTCACTGCTAACTTAAGCATTTCCGCCGATCTCCTCCGCCGTCAGCAGACCACTCGCCACCGCTCCGAAAGCATCTTGTCCGCTCTCGCCGACGGCAATGCGCTGTCTCTCATTACTCCTGTAATTGATCCGCTCTCACTCTCTCGATCCTTCTATGATCACGTTAAAACTCATCTAACTTTTCACCTGAAATTAATTGGATGATGCAGAGTTCCTCCTCGCCGCAGTCGAGATCCCGCGTCTATAACGTCATGGATTACGGCGCCGATCCAACGGGGATCGCCGATTCTACAGAAGCATTTAAACAAGCTCTTTCTGACGCCTGTGGCTCGCCGGAAGATCGCCGTCTGATGTCCGAAATCACCGATCTCGGCGGCTCCGAGCTCAATCTCGGCGGCGGATCATACCTCATCAGTAGCCCTCTCACACTCCCCTCCAATCCTGTTGGAAACATTAAGGTACAACCCAATCGCAGCCGTTCATCTTTGTATCCCACCATCCTCAGAGTGTGATTGATGCGCATAACTCCTATGTTTGATATTATTTGGAAAAAAATTGAGTCTATTTTAGATATATAATAATTTAATTTTATATTAATTTTAAAGAAAATTTAACAATTTTAAATTTATTCTGAAATAATTTATATTATTATTTTATTATTTTTATTATTTGTGATGTAAAAAATGTTCTAACTTTTAACAAAAAGTAATTTCAAGCTTTTGAATTTATTTTTTATTTTTTATTTATTATTTATAAAAAGGTGTTCAGCAAAAATAACTTATTCTTCTCTTTGAAAATTTTAAAGAAGAAAAAATAACAATAAAACTATTCTCATATATATAATGACAAATTAAGGGATTGAGCTATGAGTCAAATGATAATTAATCAATTATTAACAAGTGAAGTTAATTGATAATTAATCTATTTTTGTGATAAATAAGGATAAGCCCAATTTTCAATCATAACTATTAACGCTTTCTAATAATAATAATTAAAGCTGAATTATTAAAAAATTATAAAATAAATTGAATAATTGATAATTAGCATTTTTGTGTGGACTTGTTAATTATGTATTATTTTGACAAACTTTTTTTTTTCAATTAGATCCATGGCGGCTCCCTTCGAGCCTCGAATGACTTCCCATGCGAACACTATATGATTGAGCTCGGCTTCAACTCATCAAAATCAACACATTCTAGATACAACTTCGAGTTTGTAACCCTCTCCGGCCTCATGATTGATGCTAACTACCGCGGCGGTGGAATCGTCGTCATAAATTCTCTTCGCACCACCATCAACAACTGCTACATCATCCACTTCACTTCCGATGGAATTTTCATCCACTCTGGCCATGAAACTCTAATCACTAATTCATTCATCGGCCAACACATCACTGCCGGCGCCCATCCTCTCGAGAAACAATTCACCGGAACCGGAATCCGCCTTACCGGCAACGACAATATCGTCACTGATGTTGTCATATTCTCCGCAGCCATCGGCATATTAGTCGCCGGCCAAGCCAACATCCTCACCGGCGTTCATTGCTACAACAAGGCAGCTGCTTTTGGTGGGACAGGGATATATTTGAAATTGTCAGGTCTTACTCAAACACGAATAGTGAACTGCTATTTGGATTACACCAATATCGTGTCGGAGGACCCGGTTCAGCTTTACGTGTCCGGATCATTTTTCTTTGGGGATGCTAATGTGGTGCTTAAATCGGTCAAGGGGGTGATGAAGGGAGTTAATATAGTGGATAACATGTTTTCCGGCTTAGGCGGCGAAGGTGTTGATATCGTGCGGCTGGATGAGTCCGGCGAGGCGTTTACAGCCGTTGATCAGGTGATGGTGGAGCGGAACATGGTGGATAACATGCGAGTGAGATCGACGGTGGCGAAGGCATCGGTGCAGGGGAATGGGACGACGTGGACGGTTGATTTCAAACCGGTTCTATTGTTCCCGAACCGGATCGATCATGTGCAGTATGCACTGCTCAATACCGGTTCGGAATTCCCAAAACATGCTTTGAGGAGCGTGTTAGATAACATGGTTGTTATTGAGTCTAACGTGCAGGTGGAGGCGACCGTTTATGTGCATGTGGAACAACGGTGGAAATGAATGAGTTAGGAAAGTAATAATTTTTATATCCTCTTGCAAATCTGGATGAGTTACAAAAATCAAGAAGATTACTCGCTTCATAGGAGTATGACAAGGGAGAGCATTTGCCTTAGATATGAGCAAGTTGCTCTAATCAAAGGATCCTCATCCCAAAAGATGTTTATATTCTTTCTACTAAGCAATGTGTGGAACAAATGCATTCCTTTTATGAGATGATTCTAATTTTCAGTATCTTGCCCTCTTCCACTCACCTTTAATAAAAAAAAATGGAGAGCCAATTTATGAAATTCTATTCTTAATTATAAGTCAGCGTGAAATCTAATTGCGTAGATTAATCGGGTCGTAATATTGTCTCAGACCACAGATCAATATGTCATGCTCGCTAGGCAGGTGCGAGGGGTCCTCCCCTGCTTGGGTTCAGGTGCTTTGCACTTGAATTTTTTTTTGTAAAGCGCCTCGACGTTGTGTACCCGAGTGCCTCAGCGTTGTAGAGTTTGTTAAGATAAATGCAGAAAGCTGAGTGTCCGGTACTCTAGATTCAACACCACAGCACTATGTAGTGCTGCGGCGCAGCGGGTTTGAGTGCCACAGCATCATGATGATAGAGGTTTGAGCACCGCAACACTCTAAATTGGTGTCGCTGCACTACAAAGAGGATTTGACAGTTTTCTTTCTCATTTTTCTGAAGAGTGACGTCCCTTGGTGTTATTTGCTTGACCTTCTCTTGTGTTTTTTATGTGAGAAGAGATGCAAGAAGAGAGTGAAAGAGAAGAAAGATTTGTACTTATTTCTCCCTATTTTTATAGTGGATTTCTTGATGTGGCGTGGCTCCGTGGGTTTTTCCCAATTTTGAATTTTTCCACATTAAATCCTGGTGTTCTTTTACTTTATGATGTTTTTAATTTCTTATTTGTTTCTTCGCCTGGTCTACTTCCATCCCCAACAACTGATATAAGAGCGAGATTGTTTGGTTTGAGTGAGAGTAATGACTAATATATTAAGGTACACGATAGAGAAATTCAACGGTTCAAACATCGCATTTTAGAGTATGCAAATTGAAGATTTGTTGTATCATAAGAAGTTGTATATACCATTGGAAGGAATCACCAAGAAGCTTGATTCTATGACTATAAAGGAGTAGAGCTTCTTGACTAGATTGCACTATGTTTGATTCAACTTTCACTTTTCTCATATGTTGCATTCAACATTTTAAATGAGAAGAGAGTCGATCCCATGGCTACACTGACTAAGATGAATAAGAAGCCATCAGCCTAAAATAAAGTATTTTTTATGAAGATGTTATTCAACATGAAGATGTTGGACAACACTCTAATGGCATATCACCTGAATAATTTGAACACTGTAATGAATCAGTCAGTTGTGTTCAGTTGGCATAGAGTTTGATGATGAGGTGAGAGCATTATTGTTGTTATCTTCATTGTTAGAAAGCTAGGATGGGCTTGTTATTGTTGTGAGTAACTCTTCAAGAAGTTCAAAGTTAAACTATGAGGACATTGTGGGGTTAGTGCTTAATGAAGAGGTTCACAAGAGGTGGTTCATAAGAGGGAGAGCTGCGAATCTTCAAATTCTATTCTGAATGTTGAAATAAGAGGAAATGGGTTAGAGAGAAATCCTAGTAAGGGTGATCTAAATAAAGGAGAGGAAAGTCTACTTCAAGTAGAGGAAAAGTTGTGTTGGAGCTATGAAAAGAATGGTCACTTGAATAAGGACTGTACAGTTCCAAAGAAGGGCAGTGGTGGAGGTCAAGAAAAAAATGACTTTGTAAATGTATCTACATAATAGTATCAGTAAGATTCTCTGATTTTATTTCTAAATAATTTTGAATATTGGGTTGTATATTCACGTGTTTCTTTTAATGCAAGTCCTAATAAGGAGGCATTCAAGAATTATACACAAGGTGATTTGGATAAAGTGTATCTAAGAGACAACATGCTCTAAAACATCGTTGGAAAATGTGATGTTTATATCATAATGCAGGATGAGTCAATTTGGAGACTCAAGAATGTTATGCACGTTTCCTATTTGAATAGGAGTTTAGTTTCTGTGAGTCAGCTTGCTAAAATAGGCTATTGTTATACCTCGTGGTAGTATTAAATGCACCATGCATGTTATCAATAAAAGATCAAATTCTATTGGAGTAGATGATTCAGATGTTGATGGAGGTATTTGGCATCGAAGGCTTGACCATATGATTAATAAATGTATGTATTCACATCTTACTAGAGAAAAGCTTCCTGGTTTAAAATCTATAAATTTAAATTTTTTTCGGGGGTCCTCCCTCTGTTTGGGTTTGCGTGTACCAATTTTGTATATCGGAGTGCCCTGGCGTTGTGTACTCAATGTCTCGAAGCTACAGAGTTTGCTGGAAGAAACGACAGAGAGTGGAGCAGCACAACGCTCTAGATTCGGCGCCACAGTGCTATGTAGGACCTTCATATGTCTTGTTCATGACCTATTGCTCTTTTTATTATATATCATTAAATATACTTCTTTTTTAAAATATAAAATTCTTATTGGTTAAAAATTAAAAAACCTTTGGCAAAACTGAACTTTTCCATAGGCTTTGTGGAAAGTCGATGGTAACATTGGCAAAGCAAATAACTCAAAAATAATATATTTTTGGGTAAGTTTGAATAAATAATTTTGCAAATAAAGTGAATCTCCAAATATCCTCTAAAGTGATTTCCTTTCTCTTTCTCTTTTAGTTCCAAAAAAATTTATCATTTCTTTCCAAAGCAATTTTTTAATATAAAAAATTTTAATTCAAGTAATTTTTGTACTAAAAAAATATTTTAAAAAGCAATAAGAAAACATTCTCAAACAAAATCTTAATGTATGAAGAAGAAATAGAGCCATTAACTAAGACTTCTAAATTTATTCTTATTTCATAATTTATCACTAATACGTGAAATGTTGGAGTAGCTTTAGGGACAAATAAGATCGGAGAAAGTCACCTTAGATGATTTGTTCACATAAAATATCAACCTTCTGATGACCTTATTAGAAGAGAATATATATTATGAAAGATAGAACTAAAAAGGCTTGATTAGAAAATACTATAATGACCTTTTTTTAGAAGATTTAAATGAGAATTTGACTCTTAATATGACAAAACAGAGAAAAATAATTTACATAACTGACATCACTTAGGGGGATAAAGACTTCCGCTTCTTCTTCTTGTTATTGTTTTCATAGTTCATCTCTAATATTCAAATTTAGAACCTAAAAAGACCTTAATAAAATAATTTCACATATTTCAATTTTTATTAACTTATTCATGAATAAATATTTATTTTGAATGCTTTTTTATAAAGATAAGATATACATTCATGACTAATACTCTATTAGAGTTAAATTTCTCCTATAATGTTAGTCAAGAGATTATCGTTTTTTTTTTTCCGAAAAATCAATTTGTGATTTGGTAGCTTCTCTTTTGCAAATAAATTGTGCTTCTCTAATTTCCAAAAATGTGTTAATTACTACATGATTATAATTTATAAGCCATTGAAAAATCAACAATAGCTTTTTCCATTGTATTTCATATTAATTTGTGAATGACCACATTGCCCCTCCTACTATGCCCATTCATCTGCAATAAATATTCATTGTTTTTCTTGAGTATATATTATAGTGTAGGCGTTAACCAAATCTTGAAGAGTTTTAAGTACTAATCATAATTAAAATGCCCTTATTAAGAGTCACCCTATCACTAACACTATTAATCTCAATATTTTTATGCTTTGCTTTTCTATATATTACTATTACAAATTTATAATCGCATTTTTATTTTTAACATTTCCAACATGCAGTGTAACTTATAATTTTCAACAATATTTTTAATTTTTTTATATTCTATTTAATTTCATGTAAAATTGTGATACTTTTCATCTTATGAATAATGTTGCGGACTAGAATATATGCGGCGATAGAGTTAAAACACTTCCGTCTCAGCGTTGTACGAATATCTAGTGCACAAAAAGAGGAGAAATAGCAACACCAAGATTTTTACGTGGAAAACCTTGAAGGGGGAAACTCCAAGGGGCCACGCCCAGTAGAAATAGTTCCACTAGTATTCGCTTGACGTACAAGAGGCTGACTCGTCCTTAAAATTTAAGACGATCAGATTACAATGAATCTCTTTAGGATTGAAAATCAATTACAACGTCGAGGAGAGTTCCGGCGTCGTTCCGAAGTTGAGCAGAATTTTGACGTCGTTTGCAAGTCCAGTAGAATTCTGGCGTCGGACAGAATTCCGGCGTCACTTGTAAAGAATTCCGGCGTCACTCGGGCATCCCGAAGAATTCTGGCGTCACTCCGGCATAGGGCAGAACTCCGGCGGTGGTTGATGAGGAGTTATTCCCTCATATCCTTCTCTTCTCTCTTCTCTTCTTCTTCTCTTCTTCTTGCTCGGGTCCCCTCTCATGAGAAATGATGGGTCTATTTATAGATTTCCTGGAGTGGCATAGCTTGTAAATAGGGGTGAGATCAGGGGCAAATAGGGAGTGGTCGAATGGACGGCTGATGTTGAATTCTTTGATCGTGCACCGTTCATCAGACATTTGAAGGTCTTAATGATGTCGGAATTCGGCGATCTTGGGCTCGTTGGATTCCTCTCGTCGAGCCGCTCGATTTGACTATAAGCTCATTAAGTTCGGAGATCTTTTGGCAACTCAAATTGTGGTACAAACTTTTCAACAGCACTTCGGGTCCTTGATTTGGACTCATTTGGGCTCGGATTGAGTTGAATTTGGTGTCATTGGGTTCTTATTTCCGAGACGCTCAGTTTACTATAAGTTTGCTGAAATTGGAGTTTAGATGCTCCCGGATTTAATTCTTGAAGTTTCCGGTTCGATTTTGCCTCGAGATTCGTGCCTAATCAAGATAATTTTTTGAGAATACATCCATCAATTCGCTAGTCATGTGAGCCATGCGATTTGCAGTCCATTTAGGAATGCTGCAATTTTCTATGAAAGTAACTATAAAATCATTATAGGAAAAATAAAATTTTAAAAGTTGTTATAAAAATTATAGACTACTTATCTTTTGAAAAATTAAATGACAATTTTCTTATAACTACCACACATTAGTAAATTTGATTGCAAAAAGTATTTCTCACCACATTTTTTTTGAAAAAGTAACAATAAAATTTTAACAAAATAGCATTATGACAACTTCATGAGCAAAAAAAACTACAAAAAAAGCCCCAAATTGACTATTGAAGTTCTAAACATCGCATTATAAATCTATTTTTAATTTAAAACTCAAGTTTTAACTTTTAACTACTAAAATATAATTTTTGTGGTAAAGCTTTGTTGGTATCCAGTAATATAATTTTTTGTGATAAAGTTTATTATATTAGGCAGTCAGCCTGAGAACTTTATCATTAACATAAGATCAAAATTAGTATATTTACTGGTAAAACTTGCTCTGATATTATCAATTGCCACAACAACTGCTGAACAAGCTATCACTACTACGAAGATTGTAAAAAAGCACAAACATATGGCGAACTTTTGGATGAACACTTGTCTAATTAAATATACTTATATGGACAATTTTATAGTGTTGACAATGAAATAAATATATAATTATTTTAAAATATGAAGATTCAAGAGGAGAAATTGCATATATTTCTCTTATTAGTAAGTTTTTTATATTACCTCTATAATTTAAGGCTTTATTTGAGACAGTTTTATTATTATTTTTTAAAAGAACTTTTTAGAATAAAATTTCTAATTCAAAAAAATTTTGTTCTAAAAAATTATTTAAAAAAACAGTGAAAACTTTGTCTCAAACAAAGCCTAAATCTTTATTAGAAAAAATTTTAAAAATGGCAATGCAAGGAAAAAAAAAGGAGGGTATTTTTGAAGTAATCGGTGTTTGCACTCATTACTAAAAATTCCAATGAAATCATTTTCCATCTAATGCCTTGTCGGATATGTTGACTTAGGCTTCGTTTGGGGTGGCTTTTTTACTACTTCTTAAATCAGCTTTCTAGTACAAAATTTTTAATTTTTGTACTAGAAAGCTGCTTTAAGAAGCAGTGAAAAAGCCGTCCCAAACGAAGCCTTAATGGAATAATTCTCTATACAGACCAAACTACTCTGTAATGTGGATTGTGGAGTGCGCAAGCAAACCTCAGCTGAAGGAATTATGACTTGTGAATCCAAATGGATTCCACCTGTAGGCTCAATTTATTTCAATCTCATTGAACACGCCTTTGACAATTAGAACCTTGATCAGGACACTAAGATTTTGTTTGAGAAGGCTTTCTTACTGTATCTTAAAGCAACTTTTTAATAGAAAATTTTTAATTTTTGTACTAAAAAGTTGTTTTAAGAAGTAATAAGAAAGCCGCTCCAAACAAAACCTGAGACTATATGCCTCAAGGTGCATAAGGCAAATGCCTAAAATAAAACTTAAATTAATTGAGTTTATGTATACCTCAAATCCTATTTATGATCATAAAAGTAATAAAAAAAAAAAACTAGCCTAAATCAATTGTAGATAATAGAGGAGCCGCGCTTGATAAGGAGTTGCAACATTTTGGCTTTGTTCGAGATATATTTCTTACTGCTTTAGAAAGCAGTTTTTTAAAATAAAAATTTCTTGGAAGCAACAAAAAAACAGTGGCCAAAGACTATCTCAAACGAAGCCTTTTGTCACACACAAAAATAGGAAGATGTTACAATTCATTAAGGCTTAATTTGGGACAATTTCTCAATTTTTTTCTAAAGCATCTTTTATGTACAAATTTTCAGTTCAATAATTTTTTGTACAAAAAAGCTACTTTAAAAAGTATTAAGAAAGATGTCTCAAATGAAGCCCAAGTCTTCGTTTGAGAAGTCATTTAGTAGAAAAACTATGAGGAGAAGCCATCATAACTGTTTAACCAAAAGCAACGCAAGAACACAAAACTTAAGACTTCGTTTGGGATGGCTTTTTTAATGCTTCTTAAACCAGCTTTTTAGTATAAAACTTTTAATTTTTAAACAAAAAAACTATTTCAAGAAGCAATAAAAAAACTGTTCCAAACGAAGCCTTAATAAATAGAGTTGGGGGAAAGATCCAATCAAAAAAACTGTTTCATAGAGAAGTCAATGGAAACACAGGATCCAATCAACAGAGTCATGGGAAGGAAAATACCACAGGAATAGAGAAATTCACAGGCCATCTTCAGAGAATTTTCTTCGCAATATACAGTAGGATAGAGACCTAAGTACAAACGAAACTGTTGAGGATAGGTAATATATTAGGCGTGTGCATACAGACCCTGAAATTTTCATATAATCAAACAAAACAAAAATGAACGAAGATTCATATAAAAGCTCAATTTCTAAGCTGATTGCTCTAATGCACACATCAACACGACTTGCTGCATCATTTGTTTGAGTTCTCACCATAATATTCAAATCCCCCACCAAGTTATTATATGTTCAAGAACCCAACTCCACAATCTTTTTGCACAGTTCAAGCCATGGTCTAATTTTACTTCATTGGGGAACTAAGACAATCATCAACGAACACATGACACAGTTTATAAACCTGTTCAACCAAAAAGCTCAATCCGTTTGATGAGAACATACCAATCTAACAATATCAGCATTAAAAATCTCAACTTGACATAGTTGGTATGGAGAGATCTCAATATTTGGATACAGCCTATTGATGATGATAATAATATCGGTTAGGATTGGTTCAATTTTAGTTAGTTAATATGCAAGACATCATACTAGTGTCTATATATATTTCGTTTGCCTAATTTGTATCAAGGGAAAAAGGAATAAGATCAAGTTCAATTTTTCCCTCTCCAAGAAAATATTGTCTGCTCTTCCATTTCTCCCTCTCTCCTTCTCATCCAAGAAGATTCATCTTCCTCTCAAGAATCTCAACAAATTGGTTCAGAGATTGGTGGAGGTGATCACGAGGAAGAGGAGGAAGGTATTCTTATGATCAAGAAGCAGGAGGTGGTCGCACGGCTCAGGCGTTCAGTCGGAGAAATTCACACAGGGCGCGGGGCGAACACGCGCAGGGTGTGCGAGTTCAGACGCGAGGTTGGTGTCACGGGCATGGGAGGAAGGAGACGTGGCAAGGCGAGCCACAGGCCTGATCGCGGGAGCCTATTGCCGAGATCGGGAGGCGCAGCAAGCAAGACAGGCGGAGTGGGGACCAGGTTCGTAAGACTGCGAGAGGCGGAATCGTAGCCTGTTGTCGAATCATACGAAAGCGAGCAGACGCGCAGGCAGGCATCGCGTGTGAACTTAGGCTGGCTCTAGTAGGGTGGCTCAGAGCGGCGTGCAGGGGATTCGAGCTGGTGTGGGGAATGATGGTGGGATGACGTTCATGCAGGCAGGAGCGGCGATATCGGCAGCTAGTCATGCAGGGCACAGGGAGGCTCGCGCGCGGGCTGGATCCTTGGATGACTGTGTGGTCTATGGCGGAGATGCAAATTAAGGATTTCCTATTCTCGATAAAGATCTATTTAAATCTTTGAGGCAATGATTTTTTCTTTCATATTAATTGTAAAATTAGAATAAGGTGAAGATTATTATGATTGGTCTAATTTTAGTTAGTTAATCCGCAAGACACTATATCAGTGTCTATATATATGTCATTTGCCTAGTTTGTATCTAGGTGAAAAAAGAATAAGATCAAGTTTCAATCATTTGGAACTCTGTCTATGCATTTAAAGGGTATGCGAAAATTCTTTCCTATGCTTTAATTTCTAAATTATTAAATGTAAATGATAACTAATTAACTGTAACAAACTACAAATGATAAATTAAAAAACGTCTATATTAAAGATGTCTTAGAACTAAGACTTTGTTAAAGATACCATAGCAAGAAATAGACTTAGATCATTTAAGTATAAATGATGAAAGATAGAAAATACACCAATAAGATGGATAAAACTTATTTGAAAGAATTAAATGTCAAAAAAGAATAACTAGAGTATTGCTCAAGAAGAAGATAATAGCAGAGGAAAAAAGGATTTACTAGGTTAGTTTGGTATTGATGACATCAAGCCTTAAATTAATGGGCAGTTTGTATGCAGGATTTGAGCAAAATTTAAACAGGAAAAACAACTTTCTCTGCTTTAAGAAGCAATAAAAAAGCCATGGCAAATGAACCCTCAAAGAAAAAGGAAAGCATGGAGCTTTCTCATTATAATGCAACATCTATCTCGCTCTGTAATTTATTAGAAATAAAACAGTAGCTACAAGAATCGGAGCTTATGTATATAACATATCTGTAGAAATAACACTGGAATTATGCCAAGTAGACTCACCGGAACATTCCCCCTTGATGCTTCCTATAACCATCCTCCTCCATTCCTCCCAACTATCCTACGCACAACCGACCAAGCTATCAAGCCCTGGACGAACCAGAAACTGCTCTTCCTGAACTAAAGTCCCCCTCACTGCCCTGTAAAGCTCAAGCCATGAGCATGAAGCCAATTCCTCATACGGATCTCCCCAAAACGTTAAGTTGGGACTGGGAGGACAAGTTGCACCCACAAAGTCCAACACGGTTGCTGGTCTTGCCATAGTTTGCGGAAAATTGAATGCTAGATTGTCTACCTTGTGCTCATAAATCTTCCCGTTCCGATCAACTTTGTATCTTGAAGTCCCCTGGAACCGCCCCTTGGCCCCCCATGGCACGCGAGGAACTCCCTGCATCTCCCATCTAATCCAAATCGAATTTTCCGAGGGTTGCCATACCCGGAACACCTCGACCCTAATCTCTCTGAAGAGAATCCGTCCATGGAATCTTAGAGCCCAGAAGATGAGCCGATAGTTACTCATCCCTTGAAACGTATTCAGAGGGTCGATGAAAGTGATGTCTTCTCTGAAATATCAAAATTCATCAAGTTATAAACAACAAGAAACGAGATTTGAGTGGGATTAGGGTTTCAGAAACGGACCTGTAGATGTCGTAATTGAGGTCTTTGGAGAAGAGGGAAGGGAGATCATCGCGGAGGGTGCGGACGGCGACGCCAAGGTTGAGGTAGAAGTCGTTCTTACGCCCGTGGGGCGTCGGCGGCGGTGTCCGCGGCCGCAGCGGCGGCGTGGCATGCTTATCTTGCGACGCCGGAGACTTATCGTGGAGAGGTTCTAGGACCGGAGGAGGCTCGAGCTTTGAGAGAAGAGACGAGGGAGACAGGAGAGTGGAAGAGAGCTGTACTGGGGGCTTGCGGATGGAACCTTGTGAAGGCCTGGTAATGGGCAGGAGAGGAGTCGGGGATAGATTTAGATGAAAAGACGCCATTTTTGGGAGGAGGTATAGTATCAGCTTTCCATGGCTGTGAAAGTACTTGAGAATTGGATCGGGAAAGCAAATGGACTTTTTTCTTGTCTGTAGAGCAATTTTCTATTGGTGGTTTCGGATTAGAGAGAAAGTGGCTTGTGTTCTCTCTCTCTCTCTCGAACATTTGCAGATTGGTCCCAGTAATTATATTATTTGTAAACTTTAGTCTCTTTAGACTTGTTGCCACCAAATCACTTATTTTGCAAGGAATATTTATATGCTCGATTTCATTGAAGATGTCAAAATAATATATTATAAATATTCAATTTAGTCCCATTTTGACCTAGCTAGTAAAACTAAATTAAGATTTTATTATGCTTTCATTTAGTGTTATCATTTTATAGACTTTCAATATACATTTCTCTATTTACATTAATGAGAAGCTTAGAGATTATTTCACCTCATTTATTGGACTCCTACAGCGCTTTCCACTTTCCCCTTTCTTTTTTTACATTCATTATGGACTACTTCTCTCATCTTAGAGAGATTATTAAGTACGGAGTTCGGACGAGTGAACCATCCGAATTTGTTGCATATTTGTTGAGTATTTACATAGAACGCAACAAATGGTCACAGCTGAGTATTTGCTGTGTATTTACAAATACTTAGCAAATACGTAATAATTTAAATGATTCGGATTGTGCACATAATAATTAGTCCTCATATTACGCTTGAATACTAATGGTACTAATATTACAGAACTCATATTGATCTGTTGGTTGAAAGTTTAGGCTACCAACTAAAGAGGTCGCGAGTTTGAGTCTTGTATATGCGATGTGTGTGTGAGTCAGCCTTAATTGACTTAAATGTCTCAAAAAAATGGTACTAATATCTCTCATCTGATCTATGTTGATAATTTATTGGTCCTTGTGAAAGAATATTTGCACCTCCATTTGATGTCTTGATCATACCATTGACATACTAAAAAATGCCACTAGGCTTGTTGTTAATCTTGAGAAACTTGTTATATACTTCTCCAAATTAGTTCATGATGATCTAAAGGAACAAATTTGCGATATAATTTGGTTGACTTACATATGCCTCTATTGGGATCACCTCGGCATCACTATATCCTCAACTAAAACTATGATTAGTAGTTGATCTAAAATGATGAATAGACTTAACAAATGGCTTAATGGATGAAAGCAAAATATATTTTCCTCTGTTCGTAGGTTCAAACTTATCAGCTCTAGTATTTGGAGTTATTTCCACTATTGGTTATGTTCCATCACTTTTCATACTGACATTAGGAAATAGGAAGAAAATATTTAATATTAAAAGTAACTTCTTGCATAATAATGTCATGAAAAAAAAAATGTACCAAATTTTGTAACACCACCACTATCCCTCATGATTATGTTGGTTTAGGTCTTCCTTCACTTGACATGTTAACCATTATGATTAGGGTTGTCAATTTTTGACACAACCCAAAATCCGACTCGGAAAAATTTGGATTCGAGTCGACCAATTTGTGAAAGGGTCGAGTCCGGGTTCGGATTTATGACCTGTTTGAAAAAAGGGTAGGGTTCGGGTTGACCCGACAACCCGGAGTTGACCAGTTTTGACCTGAAAAATTGACCCGTCCGTCAGGCCAGCGTTGTTGAGTCTGTCAGGCCGCCACATCTAGCCACGTTGTACAATTGTCGTCGCGTCGCCCAGTTGTCGTCGCCATGCCGCAGCCTTGCAGACCGCTCTTCTTGACTTCTCGGGAGACGCAGCCGCCCCCTGACCCAATTCTTGGCATAGCTACAACGCTACTTCGCTCGACCACGCTAGTGTTCAACCCAACGCAGGCCGCTCTGCCGCGACCGCCATGCGTGATGACTAGACCAGTTGACATCGCCAAGCGGCCAGGCCCTACGCTGCTATGCCTGTGTAAGTGGCGACTCAGCGACTGCGCTCGTGAGTTCGCTGGTCGGGTCGGGTCGGGTCAACTTGGTAACCTGTGTGGGTCGAGTCCAAGTTGAAAATCCTGACCTGTTTAGCTAAACGGGTCGGGGTCGTGCCAACCCGTTTACGCCCGAGTTAACTCGAGTTGAACCCAAATCCGACCCGTTGACTCAAATTGACACCCCTAATTATGAATATAATAGAACTGTTTTATAATCCACATTAGTGCTTCTTGCAATAAATTCAAAGAAAATGACCATTACTCTTACAAAACCATTTACTCTTTTCGCTTCGCAAATCTTTACCAATCCGGGCGGAGCAGGTTCATATGCCCAAAATAATGGATGATTTACATACTAGAGATATTTAAACTCCCCCCTGAGCTCCTATGGAGGTTTTCATTATTTAGGCTTTACCATCCACTTAACCGATGCTGAATATTGCAGGGAAGATTTTTTTGACCCTCAATTTTCCCCCAAAAAATATATTTGTAAATAGCATCACAACAAGCATGCATCTACTCAATTGGTTCAAAACATGTTGAAGGGTAAAATAAATTATTCATATATTGCACTCATTTCAAATTAAATTCAATAATTTTAAGATGTTTCATGACTATATTTTAATCGGGACATCCTGACATAATTTTTTTCCAATGTGATATAAATGAAAGAGGGTTTTAGTTTATTTAGCACATGTTAATTTAGGATTTATCTAAGGTTTTAAAAATAAGATTTGATCGGCCGGTCGGCCCAAGGACGCACAGAAGAAGCTCCCAGCTGCTCTCTTCCCCCATCTTCCTCTCAGTTTGCCCAAAAAAATCCGCATGAGAGGGCCTTCATCCATCTTTTCTAACCGCACGCACTAGCAGAACGGGAGATTCTCCCTGTACTCCGCTCCCTTTCTAGCTCTCACTGAATACACGAACCAAGGAAAAATAATGATTTTTCTAAGATTATTTAAAATTATATATATATTGCTTAATAATTAGAGATTTTTACATACATAACAATTAAAAGTTTTTTATTTACTCATCTAACACCTAAAGTTGTCTATTTACACACCTACCACTTAAAACATATTTTACTTTTTAAAATACCACTCTGTTTTCCTCCGTCAAAATCTCGCCCGATTACCGCACGATGATGGCTGAATCACTCTTCGGCCTCCCGTTCGATGATTCATAACTCATCTCCATAGGCAGCCCTGATGATGCCAAGGCCACGAAGCTTTTGGAGAAAGCAAGTAGGAAGCTTGCATTACTAAACACTTGCTAGCACAGAGCTTACAACCAGTTCTTCTATAGGTGTGCGGAGATAATCTCCAGTAATGAGAAACAAGAAAAGCTGGCATGGATGCTCAGTGATTGCTTCCAATTGGATTTTGGGAGACATGGGTTCCCGTCCTGCAATGATGCTAGGCCGATGATGAAATGCGTTAAGAAACTAGATGATGCATAGCACAAAGTATTTCTTGAAATCTATCTAGAAGCTAATGCCATCTGCCACCAATTACAGTTGAGTTTTGATTAATAAAATTCCGCACTCAGTTTCTTGGATTACCTTATATTAAAAGAATTCGTCGATTCGACATGTTTTCTCTCAGAAGAGATTCAGCTCCGTCTGGATGATCGCCCAAATTGGAGAAGGTGGGCGGCGTTTCGACGGGAAAGGAGATGAGTTTTGGCGTTGGACAGAATGGAGAAGATGACCAAGCACGAAAGGAGAAGAGGAGCCGCTCAAACAAGAGGCAGAGAAATGAGTCTTGCACGCAAACAGCCATCATCGTGCGGTATGGGATGGGGTTTTGACGGAGGAAAACCGAATGGTATTTTAGAAAGTAAAATATTTTTAAGTGGTAGGTGTTTAAATAGACAACTTTAGGTGTTAGATGAGTAAATAAGAAACTTTTAAGTGTTATGTATGTAAAAATCCAAAAAAAAAAAGGTGCAAAAGCACCGTGCAAAAAGAAGGCGACAATATCCTACATGGAGTTAAGAAAATACAAACAAAAATTGCATTAACTCCAACAAAACATCATCTAAAAAACATGAAGTAATCAATCAGCAAAAGCCAGATGCACAAAAGATAGAGACTTCCCCATCACGAGCTCAAGAATTGCCAGAGCTCTAACGACCTGGTTGCAGTAGCCCTAATACTGCCATCCAAAGGGAGAACCAAGGCAATTCGATCATCATTGCCCATCTGCAGCAACACATCCAACTCGATAAAAACCTTGCAGCAGCCAAATAAAGCACCCAAACGGAACTTCCTGCTATAATTTATAATAAATCCAAGAGCAGATATCCACGCTTCCATTTCAGAATCTTATAAAAAACTGCACTTTTAATTTTTAGAGCAAGAGTAGTGGAAGAGGCTAAGGAGTTGCCAAACTTTCGTTCATTTCTTTCCCGTCAAATGTGATATACCGTCTCCACTTATTTTCCCCACTAGTGCATTCAAAAGTTTGAAGAATATTGGGTCTAAGTAGGTGATTTTTCATACTATGTATGAGCTAAGTGAGCATAATAAAAGAGTAGTTGCATTCAAAAAATAGATGTGTGATGCTCTCATATTCAGAATGACAAAAATAGCAGATTGGTTCTACAGTAATGCCCCTTAGATTTAAAACATCAGTAGTCTTCAATCCACTCACCAAGGCCATCCAGCAAAAGGTAGAATACCTAAGAGAGAAGCGTTTGTGCCAAACAAAATAGTGTCAAATAACCATAGGCTCATTGCTATAAAAGTATTGAATATAGCTGCTGTGTTTAACCTCCCCATTTCCCAAAATGATGCTTTCATTGTTTGCCGAATTAACAGAAATAGAATTTAATGCACAGAAGAGGTCAGCCGGTAAATTGGTTAGAAGTT